GCTAAAGAAGAAAATGGATTTGAAAAAAAATCGACAAATGGGCAAAGACTTTCAAGACAACCTAATACTTCTAATGTGTACCGGTATAGTGTGGAAGTAACCCGAAGGGGCTTCCAAATTTGGCTTGCAGTGGTCCTAGAAAACTATCCTGAACCAGGGGTATGGAGATTTTTGTCTTGACCTAAGGGTAAAAGGCTTCAGGGCAAACGATCTCGTGCAGAGGTTTTTATAGAATGTGGGCAGAATGTGTGGAAGTGGTACATTCACCAGTCCTTATCAGAAAAATTCAAATGAGTTGTTCACATTATCTTATCCTTACCGTTAGATCAAAGGAGTACTTTTTTGTTGAGGTATAGGATAAATAGCAAGCGAGTGCTTCTGCGGACTGGATTGGTTCACTGCGTTGCAGCACAAAGAAATTTTTACGGTGATCACTGAAAGAATCCGATCCTGGAGCCGGGGTATTTTAGGCCTTAGAGGCCCAGAAGAAGTCGATCATTCCTTCAAGAAGTTTGTTTTACAATTTCAGTATTGCATGTGAAGCTTTCGTATGAGTATTAGGCTTGCGAAGATTTCTGGGTGTCAAGGCAGTATACGGGGCATTGTGGTGGCAATGCATTTGAGACCGTGTGAAACATCTTCTTTTTGTTGAAAACTGGACTCAGCTTTAGGCAGGGGAGGAGTGGCTGAGTGCATGAGCCATTTTCATTGTCTCCCGGATTTCCTGCTCCCTTCTAGGTTTAGTCCTTAAGGATGCCCCCGTATATTGCGATAGCGCTGATTCTGTCAGAAGCGACGTGTATGGATACAAGAAAGCAGAAGTTTTGAATATACAGGGGGGGGCCAAAAAAAAAAGAGTCACTTTGCCTATGGCGCATATCATCAAACTTTTCGTCGCAAAGGATGCCGCTGTTATTGGGAGTTATACGGCAAATTATTCCTTAGATGTCCCCCCATAAGCAGAATCAGGCCCACCTTCGCTGCGTTCACCGTCTCCAGAATATGACGTCATCTGTCATCACCGTCGAGCTTAAGGAGGCCTACTATAATCGCTCCATTCTGAAGCTGCTACATAAATTCTTCAATCGGATAACTGGTGAATGACTTCTTAGAGACACTAGCTCTGACTATGCAAAATGGCTTTTGACCAGCGTTTCAGAGACGTCGTAATCATCTATGGTTTCTCGACGACCCCGTTGAGCTCGTACCGCGAACCATGTTTCCGTGGGAAAATCTTCTGGTGTCGTCGGTTTAGAAGGCCACTATGCAATGTTTTTGATAGAATAGAATGTGCTCTTCAATATGCAATTGAGCTCATTCGGTTTGGTTTTGGCAAAGTGTAATTAATTCTGTTTTGAATGTGAGTGGGAGTGACAGGCCCCCCTGTAGATATATTAGGTTGGAAAGAAAGTTCTGCAACACTCTTTCCAAAATTTTCTTTTTTCTGAAAAATTCATAGGTAACATTTATGACTACCAAATGATAGAGCATTCTCAAGGCTTCAATCCACGAGGTGGATATAAGTTCTGCAGTCAGTAGTTATCCAAGAAAATTCAAAAAATCTCGACCACTAGCAAATCCGTACTCCGAGTCACTGTCTAGTACAAATGTCTACAAAACCATGGATTCGTGTCAACGACTGACACTATCTGCAATAGCTTCTAATGGCATGCCGTTCAGCGATACAGCGTGTTTCACCTTTACCAGCGCTTCCGATCTTTTGATATTTTTATAAGAAGCCAGCAGCATCCCTCACACTCCATTACAGGTAGGGCTCTTACAGAAGCTCCACTACATACCCTTCGTTATGGGCACCATTGTGTAGGCAGTGGCCTAGGTTGTGGAAGTACCAGAAGCTGGCCGAGGTAGCTCGTCAAGAGCCCTCGTACCGCGACAATATTCATTTCTTTCATGACATTGCGAATCACCATGATCCGAAATGAGCCCGGTAAGAAATTCTGGAGTTGCGGCAAGATTTCTTTCCTCTCTTAGCGCGTCCCCTGGTCGAGCTGTAAATAAGTGCTACCTATCCTGGACCTTTAATCATCATCTTTATAACGAAATAATCAGACGATCAACTCCAACTCGAAAGTGAGGTCGCCTCCTTTCTCGACTCGCACTCCGCTGGGTTTTGGCGGAGGAGGATCAAGAAATTTTCTGAGCGATGGAGACAAGTGGTGGACACTCATGGTAGATATAAGACCGGTCAGAAGTTGTAACCAAAAAAGATAAAATTAAAATCAAAAATTTGAAAAAGTGTTGCAGGACTTTCTTTCCAACCTAATAGCATTGCCCTGGGCAATAAGGTCATAAACCATTCTTCAACCTCTTTTTCAACATTTCGTTCAATGTTCTTGTTCAAGCAGGATCTAATACAAACCCGCTCTGACTCCTAATTTCAAGCCCGCGTCAACATGCCGCCAAGAAAATGGCAAAGAATGTTCTTCGTAACGTGTCACCATCACTGATACGAAGTGCGTGCAGTACTGACTTCTGATCCATTGCCCCTGATCACGTGTCGGCTACGACGTAGTCATCGATTGATCACTCGTTCTTCGTTGGTACGCTCTAGTCTTGCGACATTTTCACGTCACATTTATCCTATATTTCGGCATTTTTGATCCCGTATCTCAAGTACATTCGATTTCCAACGCTCTCGTTATAAGATGGGCTATGTTTGAACGAAGGCTCAACTGCCAGGTATTAATCAAGAGATCTCAAAAAGCTTTCTGCGTCACGTCTTCTGAAAGCCTCAAGACGAAAGAAAAAAAACTTTTAAAGGTGTCCCAGGAATCTGTTAAATCGGATTTTCAAAAAGCGTAATTATTTTATTTGGAGTTGTGCACGTTGGAGTGCATTCCCTTCGCAAGACTTAACGAATTTTAGGCGCAATGTGCCTCGGGGGGGGGGGGGGGGCAGTCGCCGCGCGCGCTCGTGCGGCAACAGGAAATTCGTGAGCCAGGGGGAGTGTAGCCAATTCAGGGGGGTTGGGGGTGAGGGCAGTCACATGACATGCGTGAGAAGCTGGAATGTTCGAATTTCCTGTTGCCGCACAGCCGCGCGCGGTGACTGCCCCCCCGAGCCACATAGCGCCGCTATTTCTTTTCGTTTACAGAATCTCCTGAGGTCGCGTGTGAATACTCATCACGAAGGGTTTGATGAGCAAAACTCGTTTTTTGACCTGAGAGCAGTGTCTCACAAGAATGCTGGATTGTGAACAAAACTATCGCCCCAGACGGGACCCGAACCCGCGCCCTTTGTTTACCAGGCGAGTGCGTTACCAGTTACCAAGGCACCGCTTCCAGGCACTTTTTAAACCTTGAAGCAATATGTGTTAGAAGCACAGCGGGCGGGTATCAGTCACTTAGGTGTGAGTTCCACATTCCTTTCCATTCACAATCAGAGCCTTAACTTGAGGCAACGAATGGGTGGCCCATTTGACCTCATCATCTTATGTAATCTGATTGCTAATGGGACCGTAATCGATATTTCATCCTTCCAAGGAGCAGTGATAACAATTAAACCGACCAAATTGGAAGTATCGCTTAGTTTGAGCTGAAATGGGCTCAGACTTTTTGCAGTTCAAAAATCCGAACAATTAAATTCTATGAAACCATTTGTCCAAACACACGGTCAGAGATTTATGCTGAGAATACTCGGCCGACAATATTTCATCAAAACGTTAATGTATTTTGCAAAACCAAGTCGCTGTTCAGAGGCAGTTTTGAATAGACTTGTTGTTTACAGGGCTAGACTACGTAGAACGATCATCGAAAAAACCGGGGAAGGGGAGAATAACATGACTGAGCTGCGCACAGAGATGTACTGACTAGATTACTGAGGCGGGCAGGGGTTGCATGGGGCAGAAATGTTACATTCCTAATTACAATTAGTATAAAGTTTTCTACGTATAGCTTACGGTTGTTGATAGTACCAGCAAGAATGAATTAAACGGGCTAGTTGCAATAGTTCAAACGAACATTGAGGGCGTGAGCACAGGCCATTTTTATCAGCACTGATGGCACTGACAGCCACAAGCGTTGATAAAAATGATTGATCTCGCGACTGCAAAGATACATCTCTCCAATCTGTAAAGCTACACTACTGGAGGAAATCGTTTATTTGCTCAGGGTGATTGCGTTGAATCGAATGAACAGTAGCATTAATGTATGCATCGATCAAATTATTACACACTGTCAGTTTCTTGGTAAACTTGTTAGAAAAAGTTCGGTAATTCCTACAGCGGTAGAGGTATCGCTGTGTTCAAAGAAAACCATGCTCTTCTACATAGTACACTTTTCATAAGTTGCTGAGTAAAAGCAACCTGTACTCGCGGGAAACAGTAAAGGTGTTCTCTACCATCACAAGCAGTTCAGCAAAAACTTACGTAAACGCTTTTTTCCTACCTGAAGCTCACTATCACCAATTCGTTGATGGTTACTATTTAATGCCCTGGATTTCTTACAAGGGAGGTCTTTCAGGGCAAGGTGCGCTTTTTCAAAACGGTTTTGTGCATATTGTAGGGACGCATGTAGGGAACGCAAAACCATGTTTCATTTTCGCTGAACGGTTATAGCAGTACCAAAAAAGAAGCATAAGGTACTGTTAAGGGTTCGATCCCCCGTGGCGACTAAATTTTGCATTTGGGTTGGCGCCTACGGTTTGGTGCCAAATCGCGCTAAATATCAAAATCAGATGTCAAATTCATCGTCAGGACCATTTTGAAGCCAACAAGTGGCCGCCAACCTTGATTGCAAAATTTAGTCCGCGGGGGATTGAACCATCAAGAGTATTATTCACCACTTTTTTGGTACTACTAAAACCGTTCAGCGAAAACGAAACATGGTTTTGTGGTCCATACATGCGTCCCTACAACATGTACTAAACCGTTCCAAAAAGCGCACCTTGTCTGGAAAGACACCCCTTGTTAGGGAAACCCGCAATGCTTAGCTGTGTACGACCAAGTTTAACATCGTGACTGCTAATGATGTTATTTCAGGATGAATCTCGTAAACAGTGTGCTATATGTGAATCGCCGACGGCCAGGTCAATCCATTTCGGAGCTCGGTCATGCAAAGGTAACGGAATGAATAGTACAGATAAGATTTCTTTGAGAATAGACGTTCAATATAGAAACGTCCATGGAGACATTTCCCTTTCCAGGGATTATCCTATCGTGTCGTCTTGCTTCCAATTTATTTTGAAAAGATTTTTATGTTTGAAAATCGGAATCAGTTTGGGGGAGGGGCTTCTCTTGCTATCTTATCCGTAGGCTCTGAACTATCTAACACTATGGATGAGTTAATAAGGAAACGACTCATTTCAAGGATACTATTGACAAGAACCGGTGGATGTCCTGCATTCCACAGCGCAGGTCATCCCCCTTTGGAGCTTCTCATTATGGCACGCAGGAATGTTGGAAGCATTTCAGGGTTCCACATTACACCGGTACTTATCAGAAGTTTGACTTTGAATGAGTCCATTACGTGCCATGAGCGCTGTCATCCTTATTTTGAGTTTTGGAGAGAAGCAATGGAGTGCCCCCCCCCCAAATAGGAATTTCACTTTTACGACATTCCTTTGCAGGCATGTGCTGCATTCTTTCGTAGAACGATAGCGCTAGGAGTAACTTTTGAATGCAAGGAAAGTGTACCTTGCACAATCCATTACGGTAAGTTCCTACTTTCAATACAAATAGGTAGCTGTTCCAGCGGTGAACTCTTCTTCCAAGTTAGGTACTTCGGCGTTGATTCACTCACTTTGATTTGTATTGCAGAGAAGCGAATGTCCTGCAAGAAGTGCCGTTTCGACAAATGCATTGCGTTCAACATGAAGCCAGAATGTGAGTGGGGAGTATGTTTCTCTACTAAAGACCGATCAAAATCCAGCGGTGTTCTGTCAAATGATGGATATCTCCTAGAAAAGTCAGCTCGTAAAGTTCGTCGCCTTTTGGGAAGCAGGCGTACACAGGTAAAACTGCAAAAGCAGGACACAGCACTCATACGCGCTGGGTTAGTGGAAGGAGCTGCATAATAGGGGTAGAGCCTCGTCTGCCTATTCCTAGTTGCCTCCTGTGTTCCATGCCGCACCGGGATCACAACCACAGGGTAATATCTTCAGACTTTGTGACGAGTTTTGGATGCTGCTTGTTATCTATCCACTGCCGCTCGATCCCTCGCAAGGCTGTCGTAGAGGAACATTTTCGAAGATCTGGAATGAACAAGTCGCTACAAAATTGGTAGCTCGCAGGACTTGATGCCACGTCGGCATTAGGTTCTAACGATAAGAGCCAGTCTCTATTAGACTAAGAAGGGCTCCCGAGCGCAGGAGACGCGACACTGTCGCGCTCGAAAGTGCGAGGCAACGGCACTAATGCCTTGCCTTGTGAGCCGCCGTGCTGTCATCTTTATCAATGGTGACATACACGGTGTTTTGGCCCTTTCGCGTACGACGTACTCTCTCGGTTTTCCCTCTCTTCGCAGCGCTAATTCTCTCTGTTTTACCACTACTGGCCTCACAACGTAAATTTTTCTGTTTCCAGGGTGTTTTTTGCTTCCTCGTTGCATTTCTTGCCTAATTCTCAAACAAAATAACACACCAATTAGATCACGAATCGCCTTTGAAGGATGAATTAACGCTGAGAAAGCATACCATTTCAAAATAAGTTAGAGATGGTCAGTGATGCACGAAAGAAGAAAAACTGAGGAAAATGGAAATGGAGACCCCTTCCTTGCCCGCTGATTTGCGCATTGATGCGACTCTCATCTTTGTGCTCTCTCCAACGCTACACCTATCTAATAGACCTGCGGCGAGTGGTTAGATCGCCGGTGGGCGTACAGCGGCCAACCGCGCCAACACAGCTATACTGGAGCGCTCAGGTCACATATACACGTTCTTCAGGAGGTCCGCCTGTATCCCAACTAGGCTACTTCCCCTCTTCTTCAACCTTCGTTCTTATTGTGAATTCGCCCTCTAAACTATCAATGTTTTGCAATGGCATGCCTGTGATAGCATCCCCACGGCTATACAAACGTACTGAACACATCTCGGCAATTCCTCATGGTGCTGCACTTGCAGCGGAGGGCAGTTGGGAGTGGTGGAGGAAAACTAAGCCCCGACAGAGCTAAGGAACAGTTTTGTATGGGATTATACATGACAGCGATGATGCCCTCCACCATATGTATAAGGCACCTTTTTGTGCAGTGCCATCTCCGCAGCAAAGTCTACGACACACGTGGAAGGGAGCAGAGCAGAATGCGTAAAGCTCACGCAGGGAAGGGTGCTCCCAGCGGTTGCCGGGGACCAATTTGCTCTAAAAGCGCAGATGTGCTTTGTGCTACCATCTAATTTTTGAATCAACCAATACACTTTGAAATGTTGGTTTTTTACCTTTATACAAGGCCTTTTTCAACAAAGAAATTTCATTGACACTTATTATGTTGTCTTTCTATAGTGGTGCGATCAACTCGTGGTGCAAAAGCTGTGTCGATAACGTCGGATGATGACCACATGGTCCCGGAGCATACAGAATTCCCTTTCCCATCGCAAAGCGTCGATGCTACAAGGCCCCCAGAATTCAAACAATCTTCACGGAACAATGAGGTGTCGCGGATACCTGTAGGTATGACCTATTCAATCTTGGAGTACTATTATTATCTTAAACCAGTTTAGCTCCGCACGCAACCGCGCGCATCACATGGTGGGCTTTAGTGAAACTGGACAACTTGCAGAATATTAGGTCACGTGGCTGAGAAACTAACAGTAAGATGTTTTGGAAGATGTGTCACATGAATTTCAAAGGTGTCCAATTTTGCTGAAGATTGTCGCGTAATGCGCGCAGTAGCATGCGGAATGAAAATGGTACTTATCATGACTTCGTAAACATTTAGCATTGATATCGAGCTCGGGCGATTTAGCGGTTTATAGAATTTCCACAATTGAAGAATCGGTGTGTAAGTGAAATATAACCAATCAATCAGCATCTACCGAGCTATGATGGAAATTGGAAATATGATTTTATTCGCTATTAGTCCAGGTCCAGATAGTTGAGCAGCTCAACTTTCTTTGCTTCTTTGGATGAAAGGATAGGAATGGAACATATTCACTTGCTAGGGGCCTGGTTTAGTTTAACTGAGTGCACGCTCAATTTCGCTACTTTTATCAGTACAGTTGCCGCTCATACCACTTTCTGTCACCCACATTCAATCCTCGCCACCTTGTTCCCGTCCCATTCCTTACACCACATGTGAAAGCCAAGGTTTCAATGTCACCGCGAGGGCAGCAACGAAACTGGTGGTATCCATACTTTTACGCCCCTTATCAGTTCTTATCAGTTGCTACCACATTCGTCCACTCAACTTCTTGGTCCCCCCGCCTCACCCCACATATCATATATGAGTGCAAACTTTCCACCATCAACGCGAACGGTGTAACGAAATTGGTGACATCAACATTTCGACGTCCGTTATCAGCTTCTATCAGTAGCTATCACTTCCCGCCACCCACTATCAGTGTTCACGCCCGGCCCCTACATATCCTAGAAGTTTGAGCGCTCTTGGTCCAAAGGGAGTGAAGTTATGAATTTCCGGTCAGACACACACACACAACCGCTTAGCCGATTATATATAGTAGGATATATATATCATAAAAGAGTCCAAAACTATATCGCCTCGGACGGGGGTGATTTCACCGCTTAAGATGAATCGAAAAGCTGCGTATGCACTTCATGTTTGGAACAACACCCTTCAGAAAAAAAATACACCTTATTGAACGCCATTGTGTAATTTCTCCTTCCGTCTCCATCAATAATCGACAAGTATTATAATTCCAGTGATTGTAGTGTAAAAGCTCTAACCTAACGAGCCTTGCCATGAGGATCCAGTAAAAGGGCCTCTTATACACTGCGTTTCATAATTATAGGTCCACCCTAAATTTTTGCTACCCCAAAGTTGCTGTGCATTTTTTGGAAATGCTGCTATCACCGTTAGATTCCTCATCACGGAAAACCTTCATAGTGTTTTTCTGACAAAGTTCCCCCCTCAAGTAACCCAATTAACTTTTTCAGAACGAATTTTCACCGTTTCATGAATATCGGGCCACTCATAAAAAGTTTCCATTTCTCACGATCCGTGAAGGGAATCAGGGAAGCGGGGAAATATGTGGGCTCAGTCGACATCGAGTTTACCATACCTCGTGTTATTCGCCTCTCTTCCCAGTAACAAGCTCAAGCTAGAGCACTTACTGAAGTGGGATAGCTGAGGAGCAGAATTTCCTCCCATGTCGGCCGGCTCATACTGCATAAGCGACTATGTGCAAAATCCTGGTCAGTGCGGAGAGAAGAGTCGCTTAGGTAAATAAAGACTGCGTTTCTTTCAAAATTTAGGAGGAATTGGGTGTCTTCTCTCGAATTATACAAGGTCCGAACAAAGTCCGCACTGAGATGCGGCCTTCCGTGAGCAAAACCACCGTGTGGTGAGTAAGCCAGCAGAGCAATAACATCTTCAAACGGATTGATGAAGAGCGTTCCAAGATTATTTGAGCGCTACAAGATCGCAAGTCTCCATTTCTCCGTGGAAAAGGGCTCAACTTAATGAGCGATGGTGTGGCTGTTAAGACCCTTCGCGATCTTGGACTCCTACCTCCTTGTTTCGT